TCTGCAGTATTTCACAACATCTGTTTTCTGTAAGCTAACGATCTACGTTTCTTAATTTCCTCGACACAATTTGCAAACGCAGATCTTCCCTTAAGCCCACTCTGAACTACATTTTGGACAAACTCTTGGCATTTGAGAGGTTAGATACCTAAGTAGCAGCTTCCACAGACGAAACTAAAACGGTGCCTTTTAAGCATGTCTAAACCATATGGCCTCCGCCAATGAAACATGCGTCTATTGACTTCTCCATTACCACCGCATTCATAATGGTTGTCGAGAAAGGCGAAAATGAATGCATCAGATAATGTCTTCTTTTGGTCAGCAACAAGTATCGTTTCCATTAACCCCAATTGAGCGGCTTGTAAACTAACTACGACTTTTGGCAAATTCTTCGATATCGCCGTAAAAAAACTCAGTAAAGTGCGGCTAACGACATAGAGACTAAGAACCCCTCCAACCTTATAATAATCGTTCATATTTGTGTAGACGTCGAATTCACAGTGGTCATCCAGTAATCGTTCTTGACTCAAAACTGTTATCAGTCTGCAAACATGGGAAACAGGAGGTAAACATCTAGTTTCGCCCTATGGTTTACGTCACCGACGAAAGTAAAAAGCCGTCTTAGAAATGCTGAAGACCAAATACACATATTTCTCTGGTCCATGCTATACCGTTGTGCATCTAGGATTAGTGTGGACTAGTCCAGTGTTGGCAGTTCTCCCATGTGTTTTTTCGCAGCAATTTAATTAATATGGCCCAATTATTGGACGGTCTTGATCGTGTGTCAGAGACACGTCTCTTTTGTATGTTAATCTGGAGTTGACCATCTGTCGAAGAAATTGTTGACATCAAACCCTTTATTTATGTCAGTCAACTTTGGTGACCACTTTTCCAAACCCTCCCAAAATGGTCATTTTTGGGTTTGAAACCTCTAGCCCGGACATATTCGATGGATTTGCTTGAATATGCGTGTAGGCGGATAACGAACATCCCTCCAACTTGACTAGAGAAGATATCAGCGTTTTCAGATATGCTATTATTTTCTCAATTTCCGCTGCAAGTCCAGTCCAGCATAAAATGAATTAAGAAGCGTCAATCAAGATGCCCATTACCCTGCAAAAATTCAAATGTCCCGGCAGATACTAAAAGCTACGAAATCCCCATGGAAGTGATATTGTTTGCTTTTAAAGTATCCTCTATACAAATTTTTGAATTTTTAAATACGCTATATAAGACATTATATCTCTTGTTTTTTATAAAAAGAATAACTAAAATGTGTAAGAATAGGGAAAAATGCCATTTTGCTCTTTTGTTTTTGTTTTTCTAACAATATCAGTCCGCTAGGGTTCATAAATTATTTGGCATCTGTACAAAATTGGACATTCGAAATATTGGGTGAGTAGTCTAAGCAGTCTACTGACGCTAAGGTAGCGCCTTCTACTCCCCAATGAAATTCAAAAATGCCTTCCAATCATTGCCTGCATGAACTATCACAGTGTCGGGTTACCTCACATCATGTCTTATAGTTTAGCATCAGAAACCAATCAAGATGTTCAGTACTTTTTTAATTTTTTGATAATACTGACTGAGGTGCATTCTCGTAGGTCGTAAATATCAACCTTCACGAATATTTTTAAATTAAAAGTTTTTCACTAGTTAATCAAAGCCGATCACCTTCTAATTCAGAAATCCCCAGAGGAAATGTTGTGGCCAACCTCCTATGAAGATCTACTAAACGATGTTTGACCAGTCTTCTTGCAGTCTTTACAATGCAGCCCAAAGTCAAGTGGCTAGCAACATTTCTGTGTTTACTACGAGGCACATCGGTTACAAAATACTGCAAAGTGCCCTTCTCACAGTTATGCTGATGGGTTTGCTAGAAAGTGCGTTTCTTCTACTCCTTACAAGTGGACCCCTCCACCGCCTATTCTACCTACGACGGCGCAGACGGAAGTTTGCATTTCTCCAGAGATCCGGTGTAAACGTGACGAACCTGGCCTATTCCCTTCAGATAACAGCCTTATTCTTCAATGCCAAAGGTAAAGCTCTACCGCCCCCAACCATCTCCAGTGGGCCCAAACAGTGCAAAATAAAGTCGGTCTTTTTTTCAGTAGGCCTGCCTCCCAAAAACTTACATAAAAAAGGAAGATTGCGCAATGCCTCATCGGAATCTGCCGATACGCATTGCTATTCGGATATGCACCAGTTCACCTGCTACTACTTTTGTAGTCTTTGTCTGGCTGTCATCATTCTCAATAGCTTTGCCATCGTAATAACGGTAGGTTCGTCTCATGACCAGACTTTGGGTGGTTTTACCAACAGCTCGCCCCGATGTATCCTCCTCGAGTCTTCAGTCCTTATTTTAAACATGCTCATGGTCTGCAGTCTGGTACAGTTAACTGCGGACCGTTTCATCGCCGTTTGCATGCCACTGAAGTACTGGAATCTCATGACCAAAAAGCGCTGTATTACCGCAATCGCTGTAGGCTGGGTCATTGCGCTGTTGTTCATTCTCGTCTCCCGTACGCTCTACCCCTTCTACTCGCCTCGGAAGACGGTGCATCTGGTCTCCAATCCATCCTCCTTTCAGTCTTTCGCATTCCCACATGACTTTCTCGATTGTTTTATCTTAGCCACACGTGATGATCATGGACAACGACCATTCCTCTTCGTCTACCTGCTGGGAGCTTACCTAATTCCCCTCTGTTTCGTCGTCTTTGCGTACCTCCGCATTTACCTACTTGTGAAGAGGGCAGCGAACGGGTGTGATGCTAAGGGTATATGCATCCTCAATTTACGTCGCAGGGTCTCCGCTCCAGAGCCTGCATCCATATTTCGTTCTACTTTTCGTAGTTTCAGCACTGCAACGTCAACTCAAATGGCGGAGGAGGGTGGAAAACCCAGAGAGACTCGCAATCTTCTGCCACCAACGTCCGCCAATGAGATAAATTCCAGTCAAGACAGTAGAGTGGAGTCATCTAGCCAAGTTCGCAGTGGCTTTAGCGAGACCCGAGCCGCCAAAACTGCTTTCTGCGTTGTTTTCACGTTTTTTGGTCTCACTCTTCCCTACATGTGTGTCATTGTTTACGAGGCCCTGAAGGGTGACGCAGGAGGATTCGTAGAAGCCCGTTCGGGACACGCATCTGCCACACTGATTTCCCAGCAGAGTATCAAGGATCTGGTTTGTCACCTAAGTGTATTGCTGCTCTACTCAAACACAATCCTCACTCCTATAGTGTATATTTGTCGAGATGGAATGTTAAGAAAACGATTTCGGAGTTTTAACCGTAGTCTGCGTCAAATGCAGAGCATACGCAAAGGAAACCCAGTACCCAGGACACAATGATATCGAAAGATCATCTGACAAGTCATGAACTTGCGACTTTATTCAGACTACGACTGCGCATTCTCTGACCCGATGATTGTAAGCTGGGATGTTCGTTTTAATTTTTTAGCATTTTATCTAAATTTGAACAGTTTGTGACTCGCTAAAAACTACTTTAAAATACATACTACTGCAGAATTTTGAAGTACTGAACGCATGAAAGAAACACTCGTGCATACTCGGTATTCACTTTTGAGTAGGCATCAAGGGGAGCTTGAAGAAAAACGTAAGCGTTAATTAGGGTTAGTCTGAGTTGTTGTAAAAAAAATAAAGGGTTAATGTCTATTATAAATCAAAGTTCAGATGCACATTAAAGCTACCTTGAGAATAACAGAGCAGAGAAGAAGAATGCCGGTCAAACCTCGTTGACAGGCATTTACTTGCGTGAATCGCCAACCGAGTGTCCAGTCTACCCCTTGGAGACCAAAGTGCAAAAGCCAAAAATGCGGTTCTTTTGTAGGAAAATAAAACCGAAAAGAGAACAGCGGTGCACGTGACGGCCTCGGTGTGGAGCAGACTGGACCAGACACAAGCAAAGAGATCGGCGCCCTGAGTTTCACTTGGAGGTTATGCATTAGGCGTTCAAAAGATACTTCCATCTCGGACAATTAGGGTTGGGCTGTGGAGTTAAACGCATGACATGCAACAAGGATTTGCATAACATCTCAGACAATAAGATCGCTAGTCATCTAGCTCACTTCAATTAGCGTCTGCTTGGTAGTGATTTTTACCCTGTTTGTTTCAGTACTTGCAGGTACAGTTAAAGCACTGGATACTCTGTGCCTCATCAGATTCCCGATGCGAGTCTAACCGATTTTTCGTTTTAGTTAGACATCCACGAATGGTTTATTTAGACCGATGTGCAAAACAGGCACTCCTCTCTGGTTCATACACTCACTAGCTGACTAGACACCTTAGATATCCAGCATGCTAAGATGTATTTAGGATTGCTTGCCTGGTTGGTTTCTTTGGATGCAGACATGAAGACGCCTGGTTATGTGGCCTCCTGCATAAATCGGTTATGAAAATATAAGATTTTGTGGGACCTGTTGTTGATGGGGCTTCAGTCAGTCAATAACCGTTTGGAGATCCTCTTCATAGAGTTCAACATCGTAATAAAGGAGTGTTTTTGGGAAAACACTGGATATTTTGGTCTTTTTAATCTTTTTAAGGACGATTATTTGCTGAAGATTGACCTTAAAATCGGTATATCAGCCAGAATAACACCTCTAGTGGCAAATCGTGGTAAATGATAAAGTTATTAAGCCATAAAGCATGTTTAGAAGAAATCGAAGTGCCGAATTGCGACTATTGTGCCCATTCTTCTAACGTTGACGAAAGAACGATGTGTTTCCTGTCCCTGGAATTAAGTATGTTTACCTTAAGTATTGCCCAGCAGGAGAGCCTAATGGATTTTTATGTTAGCGTTTCAGCGCAGTCATTGAACATCATGATTCAACCCCAGACTGGCAACGCAAAATGAGTCGGTAATGATAGTACAACTCCCTGCTAATTTACAAAAATCTTTACGTTTTAATTGTTGGTTGATGCAATTAGGCGACCTGTGAGGGCTTTGACTTGGACTTCAAAACAAGACGTGGTTATTACTTTTGGCCTTGCAGCCATCTCCAGGGAAAACACTTCAATGTGACTTTTACATGGACACTTCGATAAATTGGCAATTTTACACAGTACGTAAGTACCAAGGCGAATAGTTTAACCGTATATAGTGTCAAGTGCTATCCACGTACTGAGAACAGCTCCTGGGGGCAAATCTGAATGAAGAATCTCTCAAACATCTACTGGTGCATTATGCTTAAGCAAAACTAGTCAATCAGTCAGTTGTGTATTATGCGGACGATTCGATTCCACGCAAACATCGGCAAATTCATTATAAGCGTCTTTTTCCCTTCAAACTTCGCCGAGTGTTTTTTAAAAGCTTTGTTTCGTTCAAATCTTTCCCTTTCTGCTAGTGATCATTCGTCTCTTTTCTTGGGCTGTTGGTTTAAAACAACGCGTTTTTTAGTCGTCTAGATGTTCTCTGCGGCTGCCATCAAATACTTAACTTGAGTGCTATCGTCAAATATGTACATGTGTACATGTATATGCACACTTAAAAATATTTGTGTCCTCGAGTCATAATCAGTCTTTCAAATAGGTATTAATTTCAAACAAGCAAAGTAGGTCATATTTGGAGCTTTGAGCGAGCCCAGTTTTCATTCTAAGCTGTTTTATGTACAAGAGAAGTCATTATAACTTTCGCTCAAACGCGTGAGACCTTGTGTACGGATCCATCGGGCGAAGACAAGGTCCATTTTTGTTTCTTCCGTCAAAATTAATATGTTAAGATTGAAAAGTCAGTTAGCAACCACATGATTTCGGTAATTTTTCATCCGGTCATCATAACTACATGGATCATGAACGTGTGAGTTATGAACACGAATTGCATGTGTTCGGGGGCGGGGTTAGTCACACTCGTTGCTCCCACACAGCCTTCATGACGGAGTCAGCGTGTTAAGGACGGTGGAGTTGGGGTGGGGACGGGGGAAGAGGAGGGGTTCGGGTTTGGTTGTGAACGCTGTCGGTATGTCAAACACGGGGAGCGCGTGTGACTGTTCTCAGGACGTTGAGGCGGCGCGCGATTACCACCTGGAACCGGCCAGTGAAGACAAACTGCCTGTACCAACGTCTTCTGACAACAGAGCGCTGGATTCGCCAAACGGAAAAGCCTCTGACTCGGCTGTTGCCATCACCCGTTTGCGTAGGCCTTTAAAACAGTGTGCTGGCGTCCGGTATATAACTTGAGAGGTTTCCTTGGCGTCGACTTCATGGTTCGTATCGATTAGGTGTGCGAGAACAGTACTTGAAATAGATTGATTTTTTCCCTTTGCATAGCCAGGCAGGAATGCGTTCGTGTACCCTCTTCCAGGCGCCTCGTTGTACAGCCAATTTATCCCGCTCCACAGAAGGTAAACGAATAAATGTGCCACGACAGTTTGTGTTTGCCCCTCGAGCTCCAACATCTTCAACACGCTGACTCCATCAAGCCATCGGCGTGGTAACCACGAGTGTGACTAACCCTGTTCCAGGGGTACATGTAATTTCTGTCCATAGCTCGCAAGTTCACTATCCATGCAATTATAATGGCTTGATAATGAAGTAGCGAGAAGATGTGTAGAAAAACTGACTTTCCGGTTTTTGTTCTTGTCAAAAATTAATACAACGTGGAATGTTCTATTTATAAGGGCACTTTTAATCGACGTAAAGGAAGTGAGTAGTCAGACTGTGCGCTGGTGAGTAAAAGGAAAATCTCTACTCCTCTAAGCCAAGCCAGATGACATGCTAAAGACTAATGGGGGCTCGATCACTGGGGCCTGTATTTGATTCGTTTGGTGTTTCGGGTTTCCTCTATAAGCCATCATCAGAGGGAGCGACGGATGAGGTCAGCCGACGTACATGAATCGTAGCCTGGAGGGGGTTAAAATGCCAAACATGAACATTTCCCGCATTCGTCGTAGATGGTCGTGCTTGGTGAGATGATTGCTGAATGGCTCAAATACGAGACAATAATTGCAGCAAGTTTGCGACATTATTCATGATGGACGTGGTAGTTACTCGACAGTTTGACTACACAATTCTACCCATAATTAATGTTCGACCGTGTCCTCGGCAAACGACTATTATTCTGCTTTTAGCACTGACTAAGGAGGGCGGAGATTCCATACGATATTGTACAGGTCGAGAATTAGGACCCAGACAGCTTGCAGTTGCCAAACCTCCCGAGAATCTCGATCCCAATGACCTTACGGATATGGATGCCTACCGCCTAATGTGCTGCTAAAGCAGAGTTATCGTCGCACTTCCCTAGTAGTCCTGCATGTTTGGCCATACATGTCCACAGTATTACACCAGTTTTTACCTATTCACTTTGCCTGCAGTCGCAATCGGTATTGTACGCGACTTCAAACATTTCCAGTGCGTGGCAACGATTTGTTTACCTTATTATGTGAATTCTGTCGGTTGCCTCCGCCCGTGTGTAACCCCTTACCAACGCGACGTAAAGGACTTCAAAGACTTTCCTGACGTATGAAAACGCTCAGCAAAAATTGGGGCCGGTGCGATTTAGCCTCTCCTCTTCTTTACACATGCACCAGTTGGGCGATTGTCCATTCGTGCTAGCCATTCATCTACTGTATTTAAGTCCGGCATTCTTGTCTTCCGGTTCATTGTAGTACTTGCCAACAGACAACATAGTGCTTTTACAAAAATGGTTTTGAGGATAACTGAGTGGTTACTGCTGGAGCTTAGTGTCTGCATCGTGTCTACCGCTTCCTTGTCAACACTTGATGCTATTGTTGTCCACTAGCCAACCCCAGTATTTCAGTTGTGATGCTGAAAAATGTGATTCCAAGAGTGCACCTGCTTTGAGACAAGCCCAATGCATTTAGTTCGATCAGAGAATGTTTTGCCGGGCATGACGTACATTTTTAAAGAGAACTCCAGCAGTTTAGGACTAGAACATGTCCGAGGTGATGTATGTTTTTCTCATATTTGCTTATCCGGGCTAATTCTATAGTCTCGATCATCAGATCCTGGATAGCAGAAGTGGAGATTGGCATGTCACTGAACGATGCCATGTTTACGTTCGAAAGGAGGAACGTTCCTTTACGTTGCACGGTATACTATATTTGATCGCACAGGTCCAGGCTTTGAGACAGTACCTATGCTGTTAAACATGATATGTCGTGAAACCTACAGTAGCTGGGCTAATTCATGAAATGTCAACCAAAATTTCGAAATGCGTTCTCGTTTCGAAAAGATAAATTAAGTAGTGTTGTAAAACTGATCACGATGCAGCATAAATCTATAATGATCCAGTTACCTCGGGGTGTCGGCCTTTGCAAGAACTTATTTTCGGCTGCATGCAAGATCTATACTCTTCAAAATATGACTAATTAGGT